CCGAATAAGTATGTGCACATTTCTCTGATAAATATGAATTCATATTCATTTGTATTGTAACCCTTGTTTGTCAGATGTTTAATAATTTAAAGACAAAAGGAAGGTAGTATATAAAAATTACGAGAGAGTAAAACTTGTAACATACATTCTTGTTATTTGTTAGTTTTCAATACACTTATAGTACTGTTTATTTATTTTATTTCACTTATACCTAATAAAGTCAATTTTGGAGATTCTGAACCAGCCCCTAACTGGAAATACAATATTAACTCTAGGAGTTTTTATATAGTCGGAGACACGTTTGTCGGTTCTCCACGCTCGAGTGGTTGCAAGGCAGACCAAAGTAGTTTGCTAAGCGACCAAGACTTATAATCCGGAAGACATTTTTAAAATACTTAAATCAAAACCTACATCAACCACAGTGTTAGCTTGCCCCGTTTTTTCAGAGACGTTTTACCTATAAATGGATGCATCAAACTATGGATTTGAGATTGTATTAACACAAGTATGACGCTTAAGATAAAGTGATTAGTTATTTGAACTCTTACATCGGCTGAAATAAAATATTAAATAACCAAAAATTAATATTTGTCTATCGTATACAGAATAACAGAAATGAGACCATAGATAAAAGGTTACAGTTTTAAACTTATCTCAGGTCAACAATTATGTGAAAGAGCTGAAGAACTTAAAAAATTCCTTCGGTCGATTGGCAAGTTGCAGTTTAGAACTACAACAGTACTATTTTGTGATATTATATAGAAAGGGAGTTCTCAACCAAATAGCAGATGGCTGCTGGCAACCACAAAAAACCTGTAGTGACGAACTAAAGGTCGAATTGTTAGCATCAGTACTAGAAACGTTCAACTAGTACGAGAATTTATACGAAGATGTTTTCCAAAATCTAAACAGATTTCCTGATTTACATATCAGACGAAAGACTGTATAAACATATTAATTATGTGTACCAGGGTATAAAATAAAAGAAAATTTGGAGGAAAATCATGACTAGACTACAACAGGCCATTTAGGAATTGCTAAAACTATTGGCTGAATAGCGCAAAAATACTATTGGCCTAAGATGTTTACCATGGAACTATTGGTAGTAGAAGGAAAGGTAGAAGGCCGAAGACCAAGAGGAAGATCTCCAATACGATGGGTAGACCAAATGAAGAGTTTGGTGGGAAAATCCCTACATGAAGCCGTCCATATGGCACAAGATCGCAGTCAATGGAGACAGCAGACTAACAATATTTAGGGTGCCACTACGCCCTGACAAGGGCTAAAGGATTGAGGAGAAGAAGATGTTTACACTAGTACATGCAACCTATAAAAAATGGAACCATTCACTGTAGAAAAGCTTTGGTACACTTTCTTAATTGATTTAATTGGACCGTTCCCAAGATATACAAAGGGGAACATTGTTTTTAAAAAGTCATCTGGTTTACACTCAACAATTTGCACTCAAAAGTATTTATAAAGTTTGCCATCCCGAAAAAATTTATCTTGGATAAAGTTTCACAATTCACGAGGAGCAGTTTTAAAATTTTTCTAAAATTATACAAGATACATTACATTCTTATACCACCTTACCAGCCGCAATGCAAAGTGAAACGAATCAACAAGGTATTAAATACAATGACAGCCACATTTATGGAAGACAACCATAAAGAGTGGGCTACATTTAAACTGGAATTTCGCTACTCCATTAATTCATCAAAACATAATCCGACAAGATTTTCAACACCAGCAATTCTTAATTTTGGAAGAAAGTTAGGTAACACAGATATAATCAAATGCCAAAATATAGAGAATTACAAAGAGTAAATTAGAAGTATTAAGAGACTTAAGGCAACAAAAGTACAAATGGAACATGCTTTCGAAGATCAGAAGAAACACTACGATTTAACGCAAAAGGACTAGCATCCGCAAATACTTAAAACAATATGAGGAAGGTAACACCTCCGAAGAGGTATATTCTTTATTCTATAAAAAATGTAGATTATATTTTTTCCAAAGAGTCGGGGGTCTAACGATGGCACCGTCATTACTTGCCGGGTGCTGGCTATTTATATACCTGTATGTTCAAACTCTCACGAATAACTTATCAGTACCATCAAAGGTTTTTTAGACACGTTTCAAAATACTTGCAGAATCTTTTCCTCTCATGTGGCTTGCAATTTCCTTATCGCATTGTTTGTATTTAGATGGAAAACGCTTCCGTGTGTGTTTGACGTGTTCAGTATGAGGTAATTTTTCTTATTCTATTTGGATACATTGCCTGAGGTAGCATGGAGCACTCTTTCGATATTGTGAAAGTCCCTTAAATATACCGCTATCGTTAAGTCGTCAGCTTATAGGTTGTGTCTTGTGCTTTTTGTTATTGGCTTGTCATTTATAAATATAATACATAGAACTGAGAAAAGTACTCTTCTTTGCAGCTGCCCATTTTTTATTTCTTAATATGCTTTTCTTTCTTTGTAGTATGACTTACAACTCCCGTTCTGCAAAGAAGACTACGATCTCCACTATTTTACCTAGCAGGTGTTTGTAGGCAATTGTTAGGTCAATTAGTGCGATTTCATTTATCTATTACGATGTGTAGGATCATTCCCTTATATAATTTAAATAAGTGGCATACCAGGCAGACTGGTCGTTAATTGTTTGGTATTTTAGGATCTTCTTCTGGTCTAAGTAGAGCTATTACTTTTGCTTAGCACCATAGCTTTTAAGACATAGAACAGTCATTAAATAGTCTTAGTACCCGATTTCACGCTAAAATTACGTAAAATTATATTAAAAGTCATTATCAAATATATTCTATTTCCTCAATATAAGCAATTCTACTTGTTCATTTGCAGATTAAAGATCTCTGAAAGAGCAGGATTAAAGATAAACTTCGAGAAAACTAAGAAGTTTAGGTACAGAGGCGAATAGGCCTAACTTGGGCAGCATTTGGCAAATTAAGCCATATTCTAAAAAGTTCAATTCCCATGTGTCTCAAGCGAAAGGTTTATAACCAATGTGTTTTACCTGTACAAACTTATGGAGCGGAGACTTTAACACTCACGCAAAAATCTTCGAATACACTCAGAGTTACGCAACGAGCCATGGAAGAGTCTTCGAGACCACATAACAAACCAGCAAATCAGGCAAAGATCAGGAGTTCAAGACGTCATCGAAAGAACCACGTCGCTTAAGTGGAACTGGGCAGGGCACTTAGCCAGAGCACAAGATGGACGGTGGACAAGACGTATTATGGAATGGAGGCCCAGAAACTATAAAAGAAGCCGAGGACGACCACCGACTAGATGGACCGATGATATAAAACGTGTAGCGGGAAACTGGCTACAAGCGGCCCAGTGTAGAGAACATTGGAAAGAACTGAGGGAGGCCTATGTCCAGCAGTGGACGCGATTGGCTGATTGATGATGATTTGCAGATTATTACCTTAATATAAGATTGTCACTCCATCAATGTTTGGTGATTAGTATTTTACTATTTTGACCAGTCTAGTCTCATCCTTCCAGTGTATTTGCTCTTTGTACTTGATTTCTTACTTTTTTCTACAGGTCTCCAGAGCTATATACAGTGCAATTCCAAGGTATTTTATTTCCATTACTTGTTCAATGCTAACGCCATCGATTTCTAATCTTATTACTATTGTTATTGTTTCAATTTTCTAAGATAGGACACTCTTATTATTATTTTGCTCTTATATTGAATCTGTGACTGGGTTTTGGAGAATACCCTTATCTAGGCATGAAGGCTATCAATATTAAATTCATCAAATCATCAAATCATCAAATTCAAATTCATCAGTATTAAAATATAAGAGCTTAGGGTTTAATGATTTCTCTGTCGTATTCTATTATCTCATACATTGTCTTGGCTGTTTAAATATCACGGAAGATAATGTCGAACGAATACTGAAATAAGCCAAAACCGAAAAAGCTTCTAGCTTCGGTAATATTCACGTAGGAGTAATATTTACTTATAAAATAATAAGTACTTTCTGGATAAATTAATCTCTTAACATTATTTACTAAACATTTAGTTTCAAAAATAGTTTTAATATAAGAGAGGCTTCATTCAGTATGCAAACTTTATTTCAGCATTATCATGAGTTTAATGTAGATCTATATGAATATTCCATCAATTAAGAAAAAGCTGGAATTAATGCTGAATGAACTTCATAAAAAATCACTGCAAAAAGGCCTAAAAATTAACTTCAATAAAACAAAAGTAATGACAAAAACGGAAGACCAAGAGGCAATAAAAATAAAAATAGAAAAAATAGAACAGGTAAATGAGTATATCTATCTAGGACAAGCAATCAGAGCTAATAGAGAAAATCAAACAGCCGAAATATCGAGACGAGTAAGAATGGGATGGGCAGCGTTCGGCAAACTTTCTTACGTTCTAAAAAATCAAACAATTCCTCTATACTTACGAAGCAAGGTATATAACTCCTGTATCATACCGGTGCTCACCTACGGAGCACAGACATGGACATTTACACAGGCCAATTTGGATAGGATAAGGAAGGCACAAAGAGCGATGGAGAGACAAATGTTGGGTGTATCACTTAGAGATAGAAAACGTAACCAGTGGATCAGAACCAGAACAAAGACAGTAGACGCGATAGAACAAGCAGCAAAACTGAAATGGAAATGGGCTGGACACAATGAACGTCTCCAAGACGGACGATGGAACAATGCCATCGGAAAGTGGCGTCCATACAATACAAAGAGATCAAGAGGCAGACCACAGATGAGGTGGAAAGATGACATCAGGAAACAAGGAGGTCCCACATGGTAGAGAACAGCTCAAGATAGGGAAAGATGGAGAGAACTGGGGGAGACCTATATCCAACAATGGAAAAATAGAGAATAGGTTCAAAAAAAAGCTTATAATTATGTTTTATTCATATTTTAATTTTTATTATTTGTAATAATAATTTTATTTAAGTAATTATACATATATTTTATTGTTTTCAGAATTCTGCAACGTACATCCATATCTACAAATATAAAGGAAAGGTTAGATTTTTCTTGTGCTGTCTTTGGAGCTGACGGAGGTTTGGTGTCCAACGCACCGCATATACCAGTACATCTAGGTGCTATGCAAGAGGCTGTACAGTACCAGATGAAGGTTAGAAAATCATTCAATGAGGGCGATGTCATTCTTTCCAACCATCCATCTGCTGGAGGTTCCCATTTACCGGACTTTACGGTTATTACTCCTGTATTTTATAGGTTCGTACTTATTATAATTTCGTCACATATCTATGGCTTAGAGTGAACCCGTTGTAGGTAAAAAAATACAAATTTTACAGGAAACAGTTAAAACTGTTTTTTTAGTTTGGAGTATCGAAAAATTTAAATATTTTATCGAATAGTATGTTTAAGAGGCAATACTTTTTTACGTTACACATAACTTTAAAAAAAATCATTACTACGGCGTAGTACCATGATTTACGTGATTTTCACGCAACGTGGGTTAATATTTATACGAGTATTTCGTCTATTATAAATAAGCAATACATTAAGGGTAAACTTTTATCAACAATTAAAAAAACAAGTTCACAATACATTACAACTAAAATTGATTATCTTTTAGGTTAAAACAAACAAATAATAAATTTTTAAACCAAACAAAATACAGAAAAAGTTTCTTGTCAGTGTTGTAGCTCATCCTAAAATAAATAAATATCTTTTGGAATGACCATCTTTAATTCTTGAAGGTGAATTTCATAAAGCTGTCAGAGTCTTAATTCAGAGTAAATTCTCGTAAGAATCTTCAATTGCATCATACCTTCAGGATGGTACTGTATTGCTCACAAATCACCTTCAACAATATTTTCAACACGGTTACCAGGACGTATTAAGTTTATATAAGAAACATCTTTAAATTTTAAGAAAAAGTCCTATTCCAAGTACCTTACTTGGTATGGTCTAGGATACAACCTCTCTTGCACACTTCTACGTATCCTTCTGATGAATAGACCTCCCCATTTCTTAGATGTTCTTCAGTCGTGGTGTGTATCTAGTCATACTACATTTGAGTGTAACCGTTTTAAAAAAACTTTTGACTAATAATTAATCCTGTTTTTACTGACACCAGAAGCAATTCATTAGATACAATTTCATTCTGTCAGTATTATGGATAATGAAATCATTCAAAATACTGCAAAATTCGTCACCATTAAAGACTCCGTACGGCTCGTCCCACAAAAAGCAAAATCTGTCATGATTGCCTAGATTATAAACAGTTAGGTTGTGTACTAGAAGTTTCGTTTTGTAATACAGTGCCGACGATTTAAAAAAGGACAAAGTAGTACGACTTGTAGGTCAATCGTAACCTCTACTACAGATGGATCTTAATTTGCATTTTCTTTGTCTTTCTCTACAATTTAGATTTTATTGGCCACATAGGCACTAAATATAATTTGGCGGTATCTTTTCTACAATAATGCTTCCAGTTTTGGTACACTATCAAGAAAATGATAAACCTTTTGTTTATTGGTGTTTTCGTTAGTTTAGATGACAATATTTCTTGTTGTGCTAATTTTATCTACTGACCCAAGCATCTACTGTCCATTCTCCACTATCTAATTATGTAAAAACATTTTTTTATAAACGTGAAAGGTGATGCCTACATTTTTTAAATGATACTGAAAAGAACTGCCTCTATCAGAATTTGGATTATCTGTTCGTCTTTGTTTAACCGCCTTCTTCAATACTAGTGCTTTTATAAAACACTTTTTTTTCCTGTCGACTCATTTTCCAGTAAGTAGTAAAAATATTCTCCTTTAAATTATCACTAACAGAACTGCACTTAAAGAATGCAGACATTTTGTGGTTACATCGAAGTTTCAGTTGTCTTGAAGCCCTAGGTACATCAAAAACAATTGTTTTTGTTATGTTTTTTTCTACTAAAAGTCCATTTGTTAGTTGCTCGTCTCCATTCTGCTCGTTTTGCCTTTGTGTTAGTAATTATTGCTAAAGGTGCTTCATTTAATAGTTTTTTTCTGTCTGCATCAGGTTCCGACTTTGATTCTGTCTCTATTTCTAGGTTTAATAGTGGATCAGCATCTGAGTCATCATTATCTCCCATCAACTCCATTAAAGGCAACAAATTAAGGTCTGTAGACGTAGAGGGTATAATATTGTTTCTTTCACTATGTACATCTTCTGACGATTGATTTTGTATGTAACGTTGTATTATAATACAAAATATCGCCGAATACAATGGATGAAATACTCGTATGTCTAGCTCTAAATATTTGTGCAATGTAACATTTATTCCTTTACTAGTTTTTAACTAGATAAACAAAATTACATCACATGAACCAATGTTTAGAGATTAAAAGGTTTTCATTTTATTCATTTTATTTAAATTTTACAAAATGGATACTTGGTTTGCATTCACGTCACTAGATATTACCGGTCTCAAGATAGAGCAGCCATTTTTAGTTCACTAATGACTTACGAGATACCCATTGGAATAACCTAATATTTCTTTTAAACTGAGATACGAGGGTTTCACTCGACGCTATCGATATGACCTCCTTTACGTCTCTATTTTGGCGTCTAATCGTCTTCTGGAATAAATGTAGTAAATTTATTGTAACACAACAATCGATGGACAGTGTTTAAGGTACCTACACAAAGTCGGAAGAAATGCGGAGGTGGTGTCATGAGACTGAATAGCTTGTAAATGTAAAGTCCTGACAGGACTATGACATGGGACAGGCGGCACGTGGTCTCGGGGCAGAGGTTAGGTTAATGACTTGAGATTAGGAGGTTAGGATGACACTGTAATCTGTAATACTGAAAGTAATATTAATAAATATGTACAACAGTCCGTGTTAAACATTATTACATGGCGCAGTCTTGTGGTTAATGAAGCCTGCTGCTTCCAAAATAAATGAAAACAAGAAGTTGTTAGAATTAGAACAATATGGAGTTTAGAATACCTCAACCATTATCATTTGAAGGTAACGTGGCTGAAAACTTTCGGCGATTCAAACAGTCATTTGAAATTTACCTCTTGGCCAGTGACAAGGCCGAAAAGGAAGACACAGTAAAAATTGCTCTACTGTTAAATTTTTTGGGAGATGAAGAACTTGATGTGTTTAACACCTTAAAGTTAACAGATGCACAGAGAAAATCGTATGGTACAGTATTGGGTGAATTAGAGGATTACTTCACCCCTAAAAAGAATGTGATCTACGAAAGATTTTTATTCTACAATAGAAAACAAGAGGAAGGAGAGCTATTTGATACTTACCTAACTGACTTGCGTAAATTGGCAAAAAATTGTGAATTCGGAGATGTACTAGACTCAATGATCAGGGATAGACTAGTTTTAGGAACAATCAATAAAGATCTACAAGAAAAAATGTTGCAGAATCATGAGTTAACCTTACAAAAGGCAATAGACATGTGTAGAGCATATGAAATTTCAAAAATACAGTTTAAAGAAGTTCAGTCAAGTCAAGCACTTAATGTTCATTCTGTAAAAGGGGGAAATGGTAATCAAACAGCAAGGGCAAAAGCTTCGAATAACAACTTTAATACTGGAAGAAACAAAAGATGGGAACAGGAGGAAAACTCAAGGAAAAGTGGTCAGTGCAGAAAATGTGGCCGTGCTCATGAGTTCAGAAGGTGTCCAGCATTTGGTAAAATGTGCAATAAGTGTTTGTATTACAATCATTTCGAGAAAATGTGTAACAACAGAATCATAAGAGAAGTTCAGGAGATTCAAGAAGTAGATATGGACCGTAAACAGGAAGAATTTATGGTAACATCAATTGAGGTAAATGAAATAAAAGGAAATAAGGAATGGACTGAAAGGTTAGTAATTGAGCAATATGGAATAGACTTTAAAATAGATACAGGTTCTCAGGTTAACATTATATCAATCTACTTTTTGAATAAAATCAATAAAAATCATGAGATAATTCAGAGCAAAATAAGGTTAGAAGCTTATGGGGGATTTAAAATAAAACCTGTGGGTATTATTACACTAAAATGTTTATTTAAAGGGAACATATTTCAACTAGAATTTGTTATAGTTAAGGATAACCTTATGCCAATTTTAGGTTTAAAATCATGTTTAGATTTGGGTTTAATACAAAGAGTAGATACCATAGATTTAAATATAACAAAAAATGACTTTATTTAACAAAATATTGATGTATTCACTGGATTAGGTAAATGTCCTCAAAAATGTAAACTAAAACTCAAAGAGAATTGTGTTCCTGTGGCTAAGCCCCCACGAAGGGTCCCTTTAGCCATTAAAGAGAGATTAAAAAATCAACTGTTAGATTTAGAAAAACGTGGCATTATATCTAAATGTGAGGGTCCGACAGAGTGGTTGAGCAATTTGGTTATAGTTGAAAAACTTGATAAAACATTAAGAATTTGTTTAGATCCTAGAGATTTAAACAAAGCACTTAAAAAGGAATATTGTTTAATACCTACTATTGAAGAGATATGCAGTAAGTTAAAAAACAAATGTTATTTTTCTGTTTTGGACTTTAAAGAGGGATTCTATCAAGTTCAACTTGATGAGAGGTCCAGTAGAGTTTGTGCATTTGGAACTCCTTTTGGAATTTGGAAATTTGATAGACTTCCATTTGGACTAAATATTGCTCCTGAATTTTTTCAAAGAATTAACTTAGAAAACTTTGGTGATATTGAGGGATGTCTCATCTATTTTGATGATCTTTTGATATTTGCAGGTAGTCTTAAAGAACATGATAGAATCCTTAATAAAGTATTAGAACGTGCTAGAAATATTGGAGTAAAATTTAATCCCAATAAGATACAGTATAGAATGCCGGAAGTAAAATATTTGGGAAATACATTTGATAAAGATGGTATGAGGCCTGATGTAGATAAAGTTAAAGCTATTATAAATTTAAAAGAACCCAATAATAAAAAAGAGTTACAAAGAATACTGGGCATGATCAATTACCATCGCAATTTTATACCAAATTTATCGGATGTATCAGCCCCACTAAGAGAATTGTTGAAAAAGGATACAGTTTGGATGTGGACTAGAAGTCACACAAACTCATTTAATTTAATAAAAAAGTTAATTTGCTCACCACCGGTTCTTGCAAATTTTGATGAAAATATTCCAATAATAATTCAAACAGATTCAAGTCAAAATGGTGTTGGATGTGTATTATTACAAAATCTTAAACCTGTATCTTTTGCTTCTAGATCTTTAACCAATTGTGAAA